CAGTGGCTTACAACTGTAATCCTAGCACTCTGGGAGGCCAAGGTGGGCAGATCACTCGAGCTTATGAGTTTGAGACCAACCTGAGCAAGAGCAAGAACTCGTCTCTAAAAAAAGCTAGAAATTGTGGTAGGTACCTATAGCCCCAGCTACTTGGGAGGCTGAGGCAAGAGGATCACTTGAGCCTAAGACTTTGACATTGCTTTGAGCCGTGACACTATGGCACTCTATTGGGGGTGACAAAGTAAGAGTATGTCTCAAAAAAACCACAAAAGAATATTAAAGTGGCATGATATTTTGAAAATTGTACTATGTGGTTGTACTGCCTTTTCGAAAAAAATAAAACATTTTAAAAGCATAAAAAAAAAAAGAGGCATGATAATCAAATGTAGTGCATGATTCCTGAGCGCACCCTAGATTAGTAATAATAATAATAATAATAAACAGCTAAAAAGGACATTTGGGCTACATTTTTTTGTTTTGGGGGTTTTTTTGTCTGAGACAGAGTCTCAAGCTGTCACCCTGGGTAGAGTGCCATGGCATCATAGTTCAAAGCAACTTCCAACTCGGGTTCAAACAATCCTCTTGCCTCCATTTTTCTATTTTTAGTAGAGACAGGGTCTTGCTTTTGCTTAGGCTGGTCTCGAACTTCTGAGCTTAAGCAATCTACCCACCTCAGCCTCCCAGAGTATTATAGGCATGAGCCACCGCGCCCAGCCTTGAGCTCTATATTCAATAATTTTTTTTTTTAGAGACAGTCTCACTTTGTTGTCCTCAGTAGAGTGCCGTCACAGCAACCTCTAACTCCCGGGCTTAGGCGGTTCTCTTGCCTCAGCCTCCCAAGTAGCTGGGATTACAGGCGCCCACCACAACACCTGGCTATTTTTTTGTTGCAGTTTGGCCGGGGCCAGGTTGGAACCTGCCACCCTTGGTATATGGGGCCAGCACCCTACTTACTGAGCAACAGGCGCCACCCCAATAAGTTTTGTTTTTTTGAGACACAGTCTCACTTTGTTGCCCTTAGTAGTGTTGTGGTGTCGTAACTCACAGCAACCTCAAACTCTTGGGCTCAAGTGATTCTCTTGCCTCAGCCTCCCAAGAAGCTGGGACAATAGGCACCCCCCACAATGCCCAGCTATTTTTAGAGATGGGATCTCAACTCTTCCTCAGGCTGGTCTCAACCCATGAGCTCAGGTAATCTACCTGCCTCGGCCTCCCAGATGCTAGGATTATAGGCATGAGCCACAGTGCCTGGCCTATCATATTCAATAGTATTTTTACTGACATTTTGTTATCACCGTTAAATTTCTCAGGTGTGGTATTAGTACTGTGTTATATGCAGATAAGTGGTACGAGTTGAAATATTTAGGTGTGAAGTGTTGTGTCCACAATTTATTTTTAAATACCTCAGAAAAGTGTGTATACATACACATACAAATAAAAGAGTAAAAAACAAAGAAAATTTGTTGACAACTCATAATTTATGGATAAGTATTCTCTAATTTTTGCCTCTAACAAAAAAAAAATAAGAAAGGACAGAGAAAACAAATAAGTGATGAAGCAGGTGATAAAGCGTATATAAGGGATGATTTTATGATTCTTTCAACTTTTCTGAGGATCTGAATATTTTAAAAGAAGCTTGGGAAAAACTGTCTCCAAAATCTGACACCTCCCCAGTCGCCTCCTGTCTGGACTACTAATAGCTGCCCCCTGCATGCATCAACCCTCTGACTATAGGATCCTATTAAAATACAACTCAGACCCTGTCTCTCTGTGTGCAGAACCCTCCAGTGAGCATTGTTTGACTGAGAGTAAAGCCAAAGCATACACAGAGCCTACAGATCCTGCATAAACTGCCTCCCTTTCCCACCACTAAGAGTTTCCCACCCAATGTGCCAGGTACATCCTGCCTCAGGGCCTCTGCACCTGCAGATCCTTGGGCTGGAATGTTCTTCCCCAGATACCAACACTGCTGGTTGCCTCTCCTACTTTGCATATTTTCAATGAGATCTCCTTGACAGTGCCATCTAAACTTACAATCGGGCAGCACCTATGCTCAGTGGGTAGGGTGCTGGCCACATACACCCAGGCTGTTGGGTTCAAACCCGGCCCAGGGCTAGCTAAAACAATAACAACAACTGCAACAAAAAAAGAAAATAGCCAGGCGTTGTGGTGGGTGCCTGTAGCCCCAGCTACTTGGGAGGCTGAGGCAAGAGAATCGCTTAAGCCCAAGAATTTGAGGTTCCTGTGACCTGTAACACCACAGCACTCTACCCAGGGCCACAGCTTGAGACTGTCTCAAAACAAACAAAAAAACAAACTAACTAACTAACAATCATCCTCCAAATACTCCCTACTCTGCATCCCTGATTTTTTTCAAAGCAATTACTGCTATCTAACACACTTTATATTTTAACTATTTATTTATCTGGCTTTCCCCAAGAGAACTGAGGGCAAAATTTTTTTGCTTTTTCCTCTCTTGTATCCATTATGTTTACACAAAAGCCAAAGCTCATTAACAAGCCGTGTTACCATTTCATATCCATTTAATCTTAACAAAGTATTAAGTCATTTACCTGACTTACCATTTTATGTCCATTTACTCTTAACAAAGTATTATTTACAGCATAAATTCATATATAATCTAAACACAAAATGGGAATAACAGTATCAACTTCACAATAATTTATGGGGACTTAATGTCATAGGGCTGGGAAGTACTGAGCACATGGCCTGGCACAAACTAAGAGCCCAATTAATGTTGTTATTATACATGTTTAATACTAATTGTGGCTCGGTGCCTGTGGCTCAAGTGGCTAAGGCGCCAGCCACATATGCCAAAGGTGGCGGGTTCAAATCCAGCCCCGACCCACCAAACAACAATGACGACTGCAACCAAAAAATAGTCGGGAATTGTGGCGGGCGCCTGTGGTCCCAGCTACTTGGGAGGTGGAGGCAGGAAACTCGCTTGAGACCAGTAGTTGGAGGTTGCTGTGAGCTGTGAGGCTCTGTCTCAAAAAAAAAAAAAAAATACTAATTGTACAGAAAAGGCAACTGAAGCTCTGTTAAATTTTAACCTGCCCAAAGTCATCAGCCTGGGAAGGGGTGGAGCCAAGATTCAAAGCCCTGTAAGTCAGACTCTAGAAGCTATTTTCTAAACCACAATGCTAAGACATGTCACTTTGTCTGGAAGAACAGCAGTGGCAGGAAACAGACTATGTCTAGGAGTCCAGAGTCTAAGTCCTGCTCTGGCACAAACCCTGTATGTGATCTGGGCAATTCACTTCTGCCCTCAAGCCTGCAGTTTTCCCTTCTATAAACCAGAGGAAGTCATTCTCCTTTCCTGACATGGGGACAAAACAACTGTGAGGTTCAAATGTGATCCTCATCTTCGTGCTGATAAGAAAGCACGTTGGAGGCGGCGCCTGTGGCTCAGAGGGTAGGGCGCAAGTCCCATATTCTGAGGGTGACAGGTTCAAACCCAGCCCAGCCAAACTGCAACAAAAAAAGAGTGGGGCATTCTGGCAGGCGCCTGTAGTCCCAGCTACTCAGGAGGCTGAGGCAAAAGAATCTTCTAGGCCCAGGAGTTGGAGGTTGCTGTGAGCTGTGTGACCCCAGCACTCTACCGAGAGCGATAAAGTGAAACTGTCTCCACAAAAAAAAGCACGTTGGTAACTGAAATCTAGTATTTTTCCACTCTAACATCTGCAACCCTGGCAAAGGCCCCATCAAACAGTAAAGGACCAAGAATTATAAACCCTGGGGAGCAAACTTTAAGCACCCAAAGTCACAGGAGGTAAAAAGATGTACACGTTCCTCCCTTTGCCTCAATACCTTCCCTGTCCCCTATGTTGTCTAATGAGATTCTCCTCATACTCAAGGTCCCAGTTTAGATGTCTCCTCTACCAGGAAATTCTCTTTGAACTCCAAGCCAGGTCAAGTCCCTAGAGGGGTATCCCTTCCTATCTCTGTCACCCACTGTGGGCTGTCCCCCCGGACTGTGAATATTTTGAGGGCACATATTGGGGTTAGCTGTTTCACCAGCACTGCCAGCACCAGCCTGGCACAGAGTGAGGTTCACAAAATACTCCCTAAATGAAGTAATGGATGGACGGTTCCTTGATCCATAACATTACATTAAATTCCCTTATTTTATGTTCCCACAAGTCTATAGCACATACATCATCTTTTAAAAGTAGCTAATATCTTGAACATTCAGTATGCCCTTTAGATCTCAGCTCAGGCAGCTCCACTGCTGGGGGCCAGCTGTGTCAGCTACCTCCTCGTAACTCCAGAGCTCCTACTGCCCTGATCACTCTGGGTTGACAGTGATGGATCAGGAGTGTATCTCTCCTAGTGCCCAGCAAAAATCCTGAACACTCCATCTAGCGAATGAACAGGTTATGAGTACATTCATGAATATACAGATGAATGTCCACTCTGGTGAAAATTCCCTTTCTGATAGATTCCCAGGCCACGCCCCCAGAAGCCAGTCTTCATCCCCAAGCAATGCCCCTGACCCGGCCTATTACCCAGGGTAAAACTGAGGCAAACCTAAGCCATATACAAGCACCTCCCATCGCCCAGAGCTGGAAGGAAATTGAAGCATAGGGTAGAGTTTGGATGTGAAATTGCCACAGAACCTCCTGGAAAAGACCAGGTCTGGCCTCTCAGCCCCGCCCTCAGTTCGTCGCGGTCCTGGAAAGACCGCCTAAATTTCTCCCGTCCGCCATACTATTGGCTTGCCGGAACGTCAGTCTCTAGACGCTGTCTTCCTCTATTGGATGGTAATCCAAACCCGCTCGTTGGCGCCCAGCCCTGACCCTGAACCCACGCTCCATCCTCACTATTGGTCTATCCGCATGCCCCTTTCCCAAGAACCTTCCCTTACTGGCTACAGGACTTCGCCGGTTCGGGCTGTGATTGGTCGTACACAAAAAGTACATCCCCTGAGCAACCACCTGAGGGGGGCTGAAGAAAGGAAAGGTTGGGGTCAGACTCACGCTGAGCTGGCGGAAGGCAGATATAGGTCTTGAAGAACTCGCTTCGGCGGGCGGCCTCCTTAATGCGGTTGGCAAGCGGCTTGCTGACTTGCCGGATGCCCAAGTAGAACAGCTTCGCCATAGGGAACGCGCCCACAACCATCTTGGCGGTCGCACGGGGCACGCGCAACCTTGCTAACTGGGCGGGGCGCCTCTGATCTCGCTACTCCTCCCCCGCCTCACGTGGCCGTGCGTGCGTACGGACGGACGCGCGCTCGTGGGAGGGAACTTCAGAGGCGTTCCCTGGCGTCACCGCGTTGAAGCTGGCGTCCCTGCGTCCGTTGCTGAATATGCAAATGTACGCGGAAGTGAGACACACAGGAGGCGGTGCCGTTAAACGGTTGCTTGCGAGAGTGTGAATGGATTCCCACTCTCGCATTTTTTGATATCACTGTTCCTTCGTGATGTCACGTACCGAGTCGTCTTCCTTAGCCAGAGGAGGCTCTTAGTCCTCACTAGGTCTAATGAATCCCAGGTACACCTTCCTCCGCCGGTTAGCGCCCTCACTGGGAATAAGACGAAACTGGCTACGTAGTCATTACCGACCGTGGCTGGAATCCCAGCTCAGCCATTTACTCTCTGGGTAATATTAGACGAGTGACTTAACCTTTCTGACTACCTTACAAAAGGAGAATCGTAATAACATTTGCCTTACTGGGTTGTTGTGAGGCCTGCACGCGAATCTTGAGTGTAAAGTATAATGAGTGAACTCTGTTAAGTCCTTAGAATGGTGCCAGTCGCGTAGTAAGCACTCAGTAAAACAGCCCTGCTTGCTGTACAGGTATTGGCATTGTTGTTGCTAACTCCAGCGAAAAGGTGCATTTCACCCCAGGAGCATCTAATCCAACCCTTTCCCCAGATGAGAAGACCGAGGCCCAGAGAGGGGCAGGGCGCTGGCACCAGGTTCCTCAGCCTGCAAAGATTGCTTGTCCAACGTCTTGGGTATTAAGACTATACCCGTTCTCAAGCAGCCCCACTTCCTCCATTAGCGGGTAGGGTCCCCAGGGAGCTAGCTCAGGAAGGAGTTTAAGGACATGTCCCAGACTGTCCTCCCTTACCCAGCAGGGAACAAAATCATATAAACAATGTTAGGAAGAAGTTAAGAGAAATTCCTGGATAAGAGACTGCTAGTGAGTAATTGAGAGATTGTAGGAGAGGCGGAAGGATAGAAGAAGACAGGGACAGAAGAATGGTGTGTAGGAGGAAACATACATTCAGGAGACACACGAAAGTCAGGAGACCCTGGGTTTTCCTTGGCATCCACTCTGACTCTCTGACTGTCCTTTGTCAAATGTCAGTCACCAAGGGATCCGAGTTTCTTCATCTGCAATGATAGTGCTGCTATGTGTGTGTACCCAGATATTCTAAATTTCTAAGAATGCCAAGATTACATAAAAACAATCTCTTCCTGGGATCCTTTCTGGATTGAAGGTGTGAAAGAAGGAGGCCTATTTAAGGTCCATAATCCACTTGGGACCAACCCTTTTCTTATTTTATAAACAGGCTGAGTGAGGCAAGGGGATGAAAGGGTTTTGCCTAAAATTTCAGAGACTGGGATTTCTTGAGTTGCAGGCCAGGGCTTTCTCCTGATCCCTGAGGATATTAGCCTGGGGCCCAAAGACCTACTGTGAGACTGAAGACCTCAAGGGGTTTAGGAAACTTCTAAACTTGTATATGACATTTTTCTGTATAATCCACTGCTATTTCCTCAGCTTTTAGATGATGCCTGACACACAGTAGGTGCTCAATAAATATACATTGAATGAATGGGAATGAGCATTTGGTGGGATAGAGTGCTATCCAGGCTTTCATCTGATTCTCCTAGGGGACTATGTTCAAAAAGTTTCTGGCCTGTCCATCTCTGTCCCAGCAGAGTTATAGCACTTGGTCAGGCCTCCCAAATGCAGGACTCCCTCTCTTCTCCAGCTCCCAACACCAAAGTCCAGAATTCCTGCATCTCAGCAACCTCTCTACTTCCTACTCCCCCCTAGTCATTTTCCTCATTAAGTGTATTTTTTTCCATTTCTCTCCTCTCTCCTTTTCCTTTCTCTGAGAAGCATGTCCAGGAACCTTTGTGGAAACTTCTGGAATGAGTGTGTGTTTGTGTGTAAAGTGATCTGCACATCTTAGGAGCCTGTTTACACATAGGGAGGAAGAAGGGAGGAGGAGACTTTCCCGGAAGAATGAGGCCTGTCCAAAGCGGGTGCTTTCCCCTGCTCTTTAGCCTGGCTAAGGAATGATGGCCATTCCTGGTGACCCCTGAGGCTAGGGGAGGGAGGGGAAACCATCAGCCAGAGCAGGCAGCCTTGGTCACCCCAGGGCGTGGGAAGAGAGGCAGAGATGGAGAGAGAAGAGGGAGCCCAGGATGGCCCCAGCGCTGACTCACCAACTGTTTAACCTTGGACTAGTCTCTCAGCTTCTCTGTTGACCATCTTGGACTATGTCCTGAGATTCTTCCCAGAGGCTCTTTCTGCAGGCTCCTTGGTCACCCTTTTCCCAGAATGGGCACAGGGCTTATATTACATAATCCCATAGGTCCCTGTGTTTCTTCCAATCAAAGTAGTCCTACAAAATATACCCTAAAACTGACCACTGATACATGATCAATCCACCACCACCGTCCCATCCAGCCATCAGCACCTCCTGCCAGGACTATTGTAATCATCACCTCGTTGGGCTCCTGGCTGCCTTTATCTCCCATATTCTGTTCCCCCCTCAGCAGCCAGCAGGGTCCCGTTAATATTTAAGTCAAATTGCATCTGTCCTCTGCTAAGTTCCCATTCATCTCACAGAAAAAGGCAAAGTTCTCAGTTGGCCCACACATTCCGCCTCTGTGCCCTCTCCAGTCTCATCTCCCATCCCTCTCATCCTCCCTACCTCTGCCCTTGCCACACTGCTTTACCTATTGTCCCTCAAAATTCAGACACACTCTTATCCCAAGGCCTTTAACCTGCTGTTCCCTCTGCTCTTCCTGTGACAGCCACAGAGCTGACCTCCTCCCCTCCTTCAGATCTTTGCTTGAAAGCCACCTCAATGAGCCCTCTTCTGTCCTTATTTAGATCAGACACTGAGTCACTCTTTGTCCCCTCAACTGGCTTTATTTTTCCCCTTTACATTTACCAATTCCAAACATTAAATTTATTTTTATTTACTTGTTTATCATTAGCTCTGTGAGGGCAGGGCCAGGAATGTCTTAGTCATTACTGTATTCCCAGCCCAAATCCAACATAGTGCCAAGCATAAATCTCTGTTGAGTGAATGAATAGATACAGTTCTTATCCTGAACCTCTTTCCCAAGCCTGCCTTACTTACTCCTCTTCCAGGCAGTCTTCCTTGATTGCCCTTCACTTGGGTTCCAACATTCTCCCTCTTCATCCTCAGTCATGACTTGGACAACAGTGTTTATTTAGAAACTTAAAACTGTTCTGTCTTATACTCTCTCCCTGGTATGACCTGGGGCAAGGGGCTTTCCAAAGGTAAACATTACAGTGAATTTCTCATGCAATTCTCTGAATTTCATTCAGTGAATTTCTCCTTCCACTTTTCCCTAAAATCACAGACTTAGACTTTCATCGGAAAAATTCTTTTTTCTGTTTTTTTTTTTTTTTGAGACAGAGCCTCAAGCCGTCGCCCTGAGTAGAGTGCCGTGGCATCACAGCTCACAGCAACCTCCAACTCTTGGGCTTAAGCGCTTCTCTTGCCTCAGCCTCCCAAGTAGCTGCAACTACAGGTGCCTGCCACAACGCCTGGCTATTTTTTTTGTTGTAGCATTTGTCATTGTTGTTTAGCTAGCCCAGGCTGGATTTGAACCTGCCAGCCTCAGTGTATATGGCTGGTGCTTTAACCACTGTGCTATTGGTGCCAAGCCCTTTTTTCTGTTTTTTATCTTTACCTTCTGGAAACCACATATTTAACTTAATTTATTTATCCCTTCCTCCAGGAAACCGTCTATGACCATCAGACTGTGATGGGGTCTGGGAGCCCATGAGGGAAGAGCCAGGGCTGTCATTTGTCACTGTCACCGTTGTGTCACCAGCACCAGAGGACTGTGCACACTTATAAGGAATTGTTAGGGAGGTCATGGAGGTCATTGTTAGGGAGGATGATGTCTCACCTAACACACTAACCTCACTCTTTTCCTACTTTCTTGTATTCTAATGAATATTAAACAACCTTATTTACATACAATTTGTATACACTAGACCAGGAGAAAGGGACTGTGGGATGAGATTGGAGGATTGGGGGCTCTGCACCAGTTGGGTTCACTGTGCTGGCTGCAGCATCTTTAGCTGCACCTGGTCCCCCTGGGAGGGTGGAGAGGCTGCCCAGCTGGCAGCCAAGGCTTTGGCTGAGCTGTTCCTCTTGGAAGTGAGGGGAGTCTCAAGGGTGAGTGAGGCATTGGCCATCTCTTGGGGCTTGTCACTGGCCAGGAAGTGGAGCAGGTTGTGTAGGGCCTTGGCCACATCGCTGCGGGCACCTTCGTTAACCAGGCAGTAGAGGATGGGGTCAGCCACACAGTTGAGGCTGGTGAATGCCAGAGAGCTGTGGTAGGCTGAGAACACGCGTTCCTCAAAGCCACAGTCCCAGGGGCGGCCCAGGTAGACAGCGCTGCGTGAGAGCAGGAGCACATGATAGGGCGCAAAGCAGACCAGCACAATGGCAATGAGGCTGAGGGCCAGCCGCTTGATCTTGACCTTCTCCTGGCGCTCAGTGGATACGCTGCCCCTCACGGCCCGTAGAATGCCTCGGTAGGACAGCAACATGAGAGCCCATGGGAAGAGGAACCCCACAAAGACCCGGTAGAGGTTCATCCAGGCCACCCAGCCTTCCATGGGGAACTTCTCAAAGCAGAAGGTGTGGTTGTAGCGGTCCCGGAAGAGTTCGTCATGGAACAGGGGTGCTGAGTTGGCACCCAGCTCTGTGGCCCAGACAACGGAGCTCACAGCCACCGCTGTCTTGACACGGCGTAGGCGGGCGAAGCGCAGCGGGTGGGCCACAGCCAGGTAGCGGTCCACTGAGATGCAGCAGAGGAAGGCAATACTGATGTAGATGTTGGTATAGAAGATGAACCCGAAGAGCTTGCAGGAGCCGGGCCCATGGATCCAGTTGTCGTGGTGCAGGAAGTAGTCGACCCACAGTGGCAGCGTGCAGATGTACAGCAGGTCAGCAATGCTGAGGTTCATTAGGTAGACCCCCAGCTCATTGCGCTGACGCACCTGGCGGTAAGCTGCCCACAGGGCCAGGCAATTTGTAGGCAGACCCACGCCGATGACGAAGATGTAGAGGGATGGTGGGAAGAGGTGGTCCACACGCGAGTCCACATGGCAGCCCTCCCACGTGCGGTTGCCCATCCTCGGCATTGGGGCTTTCGAGCTGCTTCCCCTGGCCCACGGGGGCTATAGGGCCACGGGGAGCGGGAGGCCATGGGGCCCCCTGAGCCCCTTCCTTGGAGGCTCAAGGGAACATGGTAGGAGGCAGTCCACAGGGAAGAGAGGAAGATGACTGTGAATCAAGGGGCAGGCTGGGCAGAGAAGGGTAGAGCTTGAGCGGGAAAGGCTGGGGGAGGGATAGAGTGACAGACAACAGGAGGGAGGTTTAAATAGTGGATTAACAAAGAGCTCTCAAGGGGGTGTTTATAAACCTAATCAGGATATAAATGAGGGAATTTGGAAGTGACACAAATTGACCCAGGTGTGTTTATGGCACAAATATGTTCACGGAGAATTTAGGAAGTGTGATGGGGTTGAAGTAACAGTGATGGTGGGGAATGTTCTACAAGACACAGTAAATATACCAGACAGTGTTAAGAGAAGACAAACTACAGTTGGGGACTGTTGGAAGGAACGCAATGAAGGTGAGAGTGTTGGCATCTCCTAGGACACCAGTATAATAAGAGGAAATAAATAAGGTACCCAATGAGGTGATTGCAGAAAAGGAAGTGTCCTGTGGGGGGTGGGGGTGGGGGTGGGGGAGATGGTGGGAGGATGTGGACAGAGAAAAGGCTCAGTCAGGGGACTGTGGGAAGGGTTTTTAGGAAACAGGAAGGAGGTGAGTAAGGGCTAGATCGGAGGAGGCTTTGGGGTAAAAGGGGGAATTTGAAGGGGCCAGGGGAGCAACTTGGCTTGGTCCCGGTTGGGTCAGAAGGGCTGGATGAAGTGGCCCCACCTCACAGCCCAGTTCACAGCTAACTGTGCAGTGCCTGTGGGGAGAGAAGACAGCAGTGAGGGGAGTCATGGACATCCCTGCCCTTCTCTCCCTATATCCCTCACCCCACATTTCTGTGGACCACAAGGGTAAACACCCTGATAATGCCTACTTGAGTCCCATCCTAAGCAGCAGATCTCCAGGAACACAGATTTGAGGTCCCAAGCTTATTTTTTTCCTGATACATGTTAAAATAAAGACCTAGCTCAGATTTTAGAACTTTCTTCCAGAAACTGTAAAACTGCCACAAGTACAAATATGCTTCCGGAAATTTCAGAGTAATATAACTCTGCCAAGTCACAAAGAAGGAGAGAGGCCCAGAGAGGCAGGAACACCTCCTTAAGGATGCACAGCAGGGTGGAGATGGGACCAGGACTAGGACCAGCCAGCCTCCTACTCCTAATCCAGGATATGCCGTTCTTGACAATGGTGATAACAGCTAAAGTTTATTGAGCCCTACCACATAGCAGACCCAATTCTAAACACGTTTATAGGTATTGTTTCACTGAAAGTTTCAATAACCCTGTGAAGAAAGTATTGTTCTTATTTGGCAAACTGAGGCACAGAGCAGTTCTGAGACCTGTCCAAGGTCCTGATAACTGAAGAGGGAAAATCTCCACCCTCAGCCCTTTTCTCCATCCTGGGCTCAATTCTCGCTCGAGAATAACCAATTAGAAAAGGGACATGGGGCTCAGAGCCTGTGGCTCAAGTGGCTAAAGCGCCAGCCACATACACCTACACCTAAGGTGGCGGGTTCAAATCCAGCCCGGGCCTGCCAAACAACAATGACGGCTGCAACCAAAAAATAGCCGGGTGTTGTGGTGGGCACCTGTGGTCTCTGCTACTTGGGAGGCTGAGGCAGGAGACTTGCTTGAGCCCAGGAGTTGGAGGTTGCTGTGAGCTGTGATGCCACAGCACTCTACCCAGGGTGACAGCTTGA